TTTTAAAGATATTTTTTAATATTTTTTAATATTTTTTATTATATATATTTCATTGAGATTAATTTATGATTTATTTATATTTCTTTTGTAAGTTCTTAAAACTTCTTTTAAATTTAATTAAAGATTAATTAACATTCTTATAATTTAATTAAAATTTATTTAAGATTCTATTAGAGTTATTAGAATCATCTTCTTACAATTTTCATTTTTTCTTCTATAGCCAAGTGTCTAGTGCATTTTCAAGCAAACTTCATATAAAACAACAATGTTTTTCAAAGGCTTTACCACATTGCATAATAAAAGTACTTCAACTTATTCATTCCAATTTGATTAGGTCTATGAAAATATCCTCTTTGAGAGGATTAAAGTACTTTATAGTTTTACAAATGATTACTCTTGTAAAAATTGGATATATTTCATGCATAGAAAAAGATGAAACATTCAAGAAGTTTAGAGAATGTAGACTATAAGTAGAAAGAGAAACTGAAAAATAAATAAGAAACCTAAGAATTGGTTGTCACAGATATACATATTTACTCCAATAATTTCTTATATAATTAGATAGAAGTAAGTAAATATAAATTAATTTCAAAATAACTTCTAGAGAAGCTTCTTAAAAGCTTCATAGATGTGGTTTTATTTTTACATATGTTTGTAGTTGAATGGTAGGTTAGAAACTTGGCCAATAAATTAACCACGTACCACACACATTGGTAGCTTGTGGAAGAAGCTAATTATATGGCACACATATAAAAAAAAAATCTTATAAATTAAGACATGAATTTAACAAAGTCAACGTGTGTTGGAGGTCCTATATAACATCACCATATGGCTCCTTATTAGATAGTATATATGGAGGCAAGAGTGAAGCCTTCTTCAATCTTGCAAATGCCTTTATAGTCCTTAGTCTTGTTTCAAGACTCTTGTCTTCGGCAATAATCATTCTAATTTAATATTATATCATGTTTGAGTGATTTTTTGGACTTTTCAAGTCATAAAAGAGGATATTGATGATTTCTTTCTTTGAAATTCATGTCCTTAATACCAATTGAAGAAGAAAATACCTTATATAAATTCAATAGATTTTTTTATTAACCATAGAATAAACATACAACTTACCATGGCTTGGACCTTACAAGAAAATAGAATCAATGAATATTGAAATAAAACTTTGGTCAAGAGAGCACAATTAATGTTAGTGATCTTTAAATAGAAGCCATCTATATAATTAATCATTTAATAAATATAAGCTTTACTAGAGCCAATGAAAGTATAATTTTATATCAATTGTACTATAGAATCAAACCACATATAAACCACCTTCAAGTCTTTGGTTCAATAGCATACTAGTACATATTAAAAAGAATAGGTCAAAATTTGAAAGAAAATTGATTTTATATATATATATTTATAGAATATAAGATCAAATAAAAGTATATATAATATTTAAATCAATATTTAGAGATAATAATAATTAAGATTTTTTTTGTTCACTTCAATGAAAAACTTACACTCTTTTATTCCAAGGAATACATTTAGTTGTATATTCCAACCAAACATAAAATCCATTGATTAAAGAAAATATCCATTGTGCAATAAAAAAACAAATAAAAATTACAAAAAAAGCTACATGCTCTTTATCAAGTACAACATTAAATTGAGAAGCTACAACAAATTAATCGAATATATTAAATGATAAGAAGAAATTAAGATCTAATATGATTGCTAAAAAATTAAAAATCTATATAGTTGCTAGGAGATTTGAACAAGAGGAAGACATTGACTTCTTTAAAATATTTGCACATATAATAAGATAGTCCATTGTTATAATCATAATAGCTTTGATTGCCAAAAAACAATGGAAATTGCAACACTTAGATATAAAGACATCATTTCTAAATGGAAAACTTAAAGAAGAGATTTATATAATCTTAGAATTAGGTTTTGAAGAATAAGAGATTGAAGACAAAGTTTGCAAATTAAAGTGAGTTCTATATGGCTTAAAGCAAGCTTCCAAGGCTTGGTATAATCAAATTGATACATATTTGCATAAAAAAAAAATTAAAAGAGCAATAAAGATTCAAATATATACTTTGTAATATTAAATAAATAATATATAATTATATTATTTTATATCAACAACATTATTGTAAAAAAAAATATAAATTATATTTGAATGTTGAAAGACAAATTGATGATTACATTTGAAATGATTAAGCATAGAAGATGCCAAATTGTATTAGAAAATTAAAATAAGATAGATCAATGATCTCATCTACTTTCATCAAAGAAGGTACATTCAAACTTTGTAACAATGCTTTAAATTGAATAATTATAAAATATCATTCCTACTAATAAATCTTAAGACTCAATTGTAATCTAAGATTAACACACTTCAAGTTGATCCTAAGCTATACTTGAGCCTAGTTGGATGGCTTTTATATGTAACCATTAGTGACTATAACATACAATTTGTAATCAGACAAGTATTAAGGTACATGAATTAATCGCAACTTATCCATCTTATAGTTACAAAAATAAATCCTAAAATTCCTTAAAAATACCATAGATTATGATATCTTCTACCTTCTCAATGACAAAAGAGACCTACTTACTTTTGCCGATGTATATTAGGTGGGAAATATAAATTCACAAAAATCTATGATAGATATCTTATATGAACTTACTTTAGTGTTCATTGCTTCATCAAGCAAGCTTCAACCAACCATAGTATTTTCTTCTAATAAAGACAAAGTATAGTATCTTTTATGACATTGCTTAAAATATCACTTACTTTTGAAGACTCTTTAGAGAACTATAATTGAACAATAAAGGTCCTATACTATTGCTTTACAACAATATGAGCGACATCAGCTAGTTAGAAATCTTGTCATGCACTAAAGAACTAAACATATTGAATTGGACCATCATTACATCAAAAATAAATATTAAGACATTACAATTGAAATAAATTACACTTCTACAAATATACAACAGGGAGATATATTTATAAAGGCTTAAGGCCTAGTCAATTTTATTAATAAAAGAGAATTAGCTAGATTGACAAGAGTATTAGCTTAGCCATATGTAATACAAAACTTTGATTCCAAAAAATGCTAAATATTGATCTAAACTTGGCTTTCTTCTCAAAGAAACTCTTCCATCTTTACTTGTATCTTAAAGCTCTTGTACACTATATTTTTGTAACCTTATATTTTAGCACTACATTTTGACCAAAAAATATACAAACATGTATTATATCCACAACAAAGAGCTTAATATTTGGTTGAGAATGCCTCAAAAGAACTACTCAAAATCGAAGTGTTTCTTGACTTATAAATCCTCCTTGCCACCTTGACAACAAAGACAACACCAACCACAAAATAACAAAGCAAAACAACTATCTATACACATGATAAAGAATTGCCATCACCAACCATATCATAAGAATGTGGAGCTGCATATCAATAAGACTAAAGAACAAAATAATCCTAAGTTATTTAGCATAGAGAAGAGATATACAAAACAAAATGCAAAACTCAATAGCAATGTTCACCAACATCAATTTCTTGACCACAATCTGCAACTGCTTGACTACTTTGAGAGGTGCAACATGATAGCGTGCCATTAGAACACAAATAATTCAAACACAAATAATTCAAGTGCAAGTTGAAGGGAGATGTTGGTATCATCCAACCTCCATCCTTTGTTGACAACTAATTTTGAGTCCTCATCCATGTGATCATTCGTCCTCAACACATCAATCCACGTCGACACTAGGCCTAGGTAAAAATAGGAAGTTACCATCGTGTTACTTCACTGTGGTGGATAAAGTCCCATTGTGCATATAACATCGCATGATCGAATAAAGATCTCTGCTTGTGTTCATATCAGCAACAAAAGTGTCGGATGTTCGATGGACTGCACGAAGTAATCATATCACACAGCTGAAGAGGTGATTAAGATGATTTTAGGGTTTGGCAGCGGAACTCGCCGATTGCTCGAATCGTCAATCGATGTTGAAGGCCACTAAAGTCGACTTCAACAATCTCCATCTTCCTAGAAAGTCTCGCTGGATTGAAATGTGGATCCTTCACCCACACCATGACTCCAGTTCATGTGTACGTCAGGCTACGTACACTTTTGTGTCGTATACAAGTTTGATGCAGAGGAACAATGTATTGATTAGTAGTAGGAGAAACAGCTCTGTACATTGAAACGGCTCACATTTCACTTGAAAGGAGCTGTTACAAATGTAAGGAAACACATGGTGAAATGCACACCCAGAGAAATGCACGAGGCACACTAGTTCTTTGCGTCTTAAGGGGTAATTCAGCACGCCTGGTAGAATGGTTGGATAAGAAAGTGAACAATCGTCAGCAAACCCTAACTTCAGATCGAATCGATTCAATCGTCGAATGGGAAAGAGTTGTCGGGCCTCAAGAAATTAGTAACTGAATAAGCAAAACCTTCTCAAGGGCTTGTATAAGGCTATATTCCAGCTTCAAAATCAGAGGTGCAATATCTCACATAGAGTTTTAGTTGGCTTGCATTGATTCCCTTCTGAGGAAACGTTGAGAATAGAGGTAGCTTGCCATCTGAACAGAGCAGACGCTGACAAGCACTTTTCAAGGTCAGGAATCGCCTGAAATTCTGCCAGTCGAATGGCTCAACTTGTGAAAAGGAGCACGAGCATCGAGATAAACAGGGTATAAATGAAGATCTCTTGCTTGGTCCTGACAAAGATACCGCCAGCAAGTTCTGGCACTAGGTTATCGTTTTCAGAAAGCTGCCGTCACGGCGAAATTCAATCAAACAATGCATGGCAAATATTCTTGCTGGAGCACTCATCAACGAGGATTATAGCAAAGCAAAGTCTCCGGATCCGTCAGCGCGCACCGACTTTTAGGTATGCTTCTAACTGTATGTGGAGATTCACTCAAGACAATAAGAAATACCTCACCGCAATATGTTACAAGGTACAATGTTGGAGCCCAAAATTGCGAGTAGAGACAGTACTTTTCCATGTAAACTTCATGAAGTGCCTTTATTACAGGCTTTATGTTACAAGGTCTTTGTGGCTGAACCACTGATAAATTTTATCTACTTAACTAGTAATCTGTGCGAGGCAGTACACCTGACACCCGAGCGTGGCTAGGAAAATTGGATTAGCTTCTCGACATTCCCATTTCGGAATCGTCTACGAATAGTGGGGGACGAATGTGCCTACGTAGCCGAAGCCCATTACCAGGAATGCGCACGATTGCAAAAACAGATACACGTAGAAGTGGTTCTTGCCCTGGAAGTAGAAATCGTATACAGCGCAGAACATCAGGAACCCTCCGGTCCACACTTCCAAGAGGTGCATCCTGCAATCCAACAACGCCCTTTAGTACGTTAAACCAACCTCTGTATCACGAATTCTCCACATGGCAAAGAATGTAGGTTTATGGTTTAAGGACAATTGTGAATGCTGCTGCTGCTGATGCTGAGGATGAAAATAAGATAAAAGTTCAAGGACACACCTTTCGGACATTTTCCACCCTCTTGCTAGCATGTTGCTTGCCATGCGCTGCAGCGTGTACTTCTTCCCGTACTTGGAAGACCTGTACTTCATCAAGTTTCCGAGCTTCTCAGTCACCACCCACTCGTTCACATTACCAATGTCAAACAATCCGATAATCGTCGCCTTTGTCCGGTGCAGCGACATCACGTTCTCGAACAGGATCCAGAACACCAACAAGTGTAGAGACCTGCAATTTGGTCCCCAATTAGCAGACGTGCACGTGGAATATACTTATTCTTGGACGGAGTTGTCGAAGCCATAACTGCAGCGCAAACTCGTCAACCTCTGGAATTCAATGCAGAATGAAACTGCGACTTACTTGGGGGTGGTGATGGCGTTCAGCAGTGTGATGATCGACGGCACATACACAGCTCCCCAGAATGGTAGGTCGACCTCGGGGACCAACACGGAAGCAGGAATCACCACGCAGTAGAAGGTGAATGTCACAATATGAGCCACAACCTTGCGCACGAAGAAGAAGGCATAGATCATGTGCAACCTCTTCCACAGCTTCAGATTCTGGTTCTTCAAAATGGATGGCAGCACCTTGCGAAACAGGTTGGCCGGCCCGCACGACCATCTGTGCTGCTGGAATCGGAACGCCTTGAAAGTGCTGGGCAGCTCATTCTTCACCTCCAGATCGTGAATGTACACAAACTTCCATCCGCACAGACTGGCGCGCACTGCCAGGTCCATGTCCTCCACCGTGGTGCGATCGTTCCATCCTCCCGCCTCCTCCATGGCGCGGATTCTCCACACTCCTGCAGTGCCGTTGAACCCGAAGAACCCGTATGTGGCAGACCCAACTCTTTGCTCCACCGAGAAGTGGTAGTTCAAGGATACCTCTTGCATCTTCGTCATCAGGCACTCATTTGCGTTCACTGCACATTTGACGTACCGTCGGATGAAATTGGGGTAACTAAGCGCTTAACCACAAATTACCGAGGTCAGATACACATTAGCAACTCCTGGTTAGCGGCGTGAAATGCATATAATTTATTCGTCGATCGATTAAACCTCACTTCATATAATATGATCACACACACTATCATCGGCGCGCTTATCCAACTCCCACCGGATAGTTGGAAGCCATCAATGCGGTCCGTTAGAATCTAGAAAACGACCAGGAAATCCCAGTCCACTCCAACGCATCGGGATTCTAGGAAGCGGGAACGATCTAGTAATGGCACCGCAGCAAATTATAGTTGAAGGGAAGGTCCCACCAGTGTCCGACTTTCACTGTACAACACTGTTCTGCTAGATTTGCCTGGTTCACTCAGGCGACATGTGACACAAACGGCTTGTGTAAATATTATGCATGTATCTTCTTGTGGTCGTTCCCAGTTGCACCACATGACCTCACTGATTGTGGGCCCACCACCCAGTATGACCTACTTACCAGCAGTTACCAGAGACTGGTACTAAAGACAAAACGGTACGACCAGGAAACTGATTCATCGATCGTCAAGGTGATGAAACAGTACTCGGCGGACATTAGCCCACAGGATCATCTCCAGATTTAATCGCTTCGCTAGTACCCTGCGATGACTAAGGCCGAGGGCGGTAAATACGATGCATATATTTAAATCCCTAGGACAAAATTCCTGGCATTGTCGTGGAGAATCTGCCAGCTGTGTAGATCCATGAAAATGGAAGAGACAAGGAATTATTGCTGCTCACGTCGGTGGACAGACAGGTCCAGAATGAGACTCTCAGGAGTCTACTATAATCCAGAGGCAGTCGTGTCAACATGCAGCTTTCTTCGGTATTGCCGCGTTACAAACCAACTGGCGACCTAAGAATCAAATACTTAAGAATCAAATACTCTACACAGATAATGACTTCTAATTGTCTGAATCTGAACTTTTCCTGTGGAGAGCACATCGCACTGCGGCGACAATCATCGATCAAGTGTATGTGGCATGCGTTGTTCACGGAAACAACGAACATGACAGTGACCAGTGATCAGCGACAGCTAGAATTCAAAGGGTGAGAAGGTGCAGCGTACCAAACTTCCAGCGGGCTTGAACGAGTGCGAGATTCGAGTTGTGTACGAGGAAAGGCACCGTGCGTTGAAGAAACTCCGGCTCAGGCTGGAAGTCAGCGTCGAAGATAGCTACATAGTCGCATGTTTGCACATATGGCCACTTCATACCCTGGCGCAACGCGCCGGCCTTGTATCCCTTTCGGTTGGGCCGTGTCTCGTACCTGATATTGATGCCCTTGCTTGCCCAGCGTTGGCACTCCATTTGCACCAAATCCTGACCCACCAACACCACAAGGATGCCATAATCAGGAAAAAATTAAGCCCATTCATTATTAATGTTTTCGAAGGAAAGAGCCCCTATGTACAATGGTGTCTTAACGAATGTGTCACACTCTGCACTGCCACTAATCACCTTGATTAACCGAGTTAGACGAATCATCAAATCCACTAACGGCATCAGAATGACTTTGCATCTGTAATCACGATAAGGTAACAAAACTGATGTACAGGAGTGTAAATACCCTTGTAGTCTGATCCGTTGAATCATCAAGCACTTGGATGATCATCCGATCCCCTGGCCAGGACAGCCCACACGCTGCCTGTATCGAGAGTTGGTACACCTGCGCCAAAACAACAAACAATTCAACGAGCGGCTTCAATTTGAGAAGAAAAAAAGAAACTTAACAAGACACTCTAGAAAGATAATTCAGACATCGAGCAATCGAGATGAGAAACCTGAGCGCGGTGTAGTGAGCGGAGCGTACCTCTCGCTCGTTGAACATGGGGATCTGCACCAGAACCATGGGGAACGACGAGTTTCCGAATTCTAAATCATCGCGGAGGGGCTCAAACTTAAATTGTGTTTCGGGGGTGCGCCGAAGCAACTTCACGAAAACCATCACCCCGCACATGAATATCCGCTCGACGAACAGCATTGTCACCATCACCAGGCACACGTTGATGGCGAATTGCAGCAGTGGAGCCACGATGGGGCTCCTCACGTCCAACCATAGCTGCAGCAGCTGGTCCACTAGGACCGAAAACGTACCCCCGCGTGCGCTTTCCGCCATTTCGCTCGACCGGACTGAGGTTTGCAGCGCGCTGGCTCAAAAAAAGGAACTACCAAAACCCACAACTGCCTCCCAAATCTCAGACCCTCTGTCTGCACAGGCCTAACTGCAACTGGTCATCATTTGTGATAATTCTGCAACTCAGGATTCGGTATCAATGTAGATCTGACGACCAGCCCTGAGACTCGCAGAGTTGCAACAGCACTCTGGTTGAAGCCACTGCTGATCTCCTCAGGTTCATATGAGCACATGCACTCTGCACCCAGCTGAATCCCTCTTCCCACCCAGTTACTCTCGCCACTCGAGTTTTGATAAGCAGCAAGTAGTGATTCTCATTGCCGCGGCTAGACAGTTCGCCTCAGCAGACTTCCCCAGCTAGAAACTGCACCTTACAAGTCAGACTGCAGACACTGCCATCGAGTGGCCGTTCTAAGGCTCCCCGCTACCAGTTTAACTCCACTGTGACCGACCAGGATATGTAATGCCTCAGAAACGCTAGAGTTAGGAGAGGTAATAAGCAACGGCCCGCGGTGAATGAGTGCCGAGGCTTGGGGTTCATATAATCATTTGCTTGTATCATTCATGTAAGGAAGTAAAGCAGGGAGGGGATCGGTGGATGGATCGAGGACCGGCACGACACGGTCCCACTCATGCTGCGCCTTGCCTGGCTCTTCCTGGCTGGACGCTGCGATGCTGCTGCATTATTTGGAGTTGCTACCTCCTTCCCAGGGAGGGACGGAGGGGGGTAGGGGGGAACCAGTCACAGGGGAAATGTGTGGGCGCGACGGTCAAAAGTGAAGGCCTGGGGTGGTAATTGTCTGTTTTGGCAGGACGCACTGGAGCTCGTACCCGATGCCGATTGATAAGAATCCCCCCCCCCCTCTTTTTTTTTATACAGAAAAACACACATACACACATGCTCCCTCAATTTCTGGATATGAGCACGCATTTACAGACCCCCACTCCCCCTCATGGCTTATTCAGAGTCTAGAACTCGAAATCTTCTCAGTCGTCCCTTTCCAAAAAGGACCCTCCACGTCGCAACGACGATCGCGGCTTCCTTCATGAGCGTGCAAGCCTTGCGGTCTGTTTCGCGCTAGCCGTGACATTCCTGGACCATGTTGCCAAATTACATTATTTCTTTAGTCATATCACTTCGCATTCCTCCCTTCCAATCCCCTCCCTCTTTATCCGAATGCGGGTGAATCTTGCAATGATCACCAGTGCATCATGTTGCCAAAATACCTAGTTCTTACATTGGAAGTGTGTTCACAGATGCACTGATTTGCTTCTGGATGGAAGGACTTGGTCTAGATTTCGGCACATTCATAAGCATGAGAACAAATGTGGACCAACATAAACAACTAAGTTGAGTAGATCTTCACTTCCAGAGTGTGTGTGTGTGTGTGTGTGTGTTTGTTTGTTCCGAAAGGGATCCATAGTCTTCTGCGTTGCGACATAACTCAGTCAAGTCATTGGATTCCGTGTGTATTTTACCAGCTGATTTTGATTATGCTACAAGAATGGGGAGTGTGATAAATCGTGGATGAGGGACTAGAGATTGCTTTGGGAGGTCGGTTCATGAGCGGCAGGCTTTTGAACATGTTAAGCATTAAGGATCCTGATAGATGATTCTTTTGTGCAGGCCTTTGGAATGGTGGGGACTTGGTTGATGAGCATTTATTGTTGCCAGTGCCAGGGTGGTTCCAGTCTTAACCTTGAATAATTTTCGTCACAATATATTCCTTGATGTCATTTCAAGCTAACACTGCTTCTTCTTCTTCTTCTTTTTTTCTTTTTTTCTTTTTTTTTTCCCTTCAAGGATGTGTAATTTTAAATCATGACAGCCCCCTTTAAACAAAATGGTCAAGATTACAATACTCTGTATCGCAAAATTCCTTGTCAATGTTGTTTAAGATCGGTGTTTTGAAATAGAACCCCATGTACAGTGTAAGTCCTATTTGATTTTCTGTTTTTTTTTAATTGTTTACCTGCTTCAAATCATGTACTGTGGAATAAAAGAAAGGTTACTGTGACTTTGTTTCTAAATTGTGAGCAAGCACCGCCTCAAATATGCTTACAAGCTTTTGCAAAGTCTTGCAGGGATCATAATGTGGCTGAATGATCATAGGTGGAGTTATTTATTTATTTATTATTTTCTCTCTGTTATTTTATTTTATTTTTTCTTTGGTGCTGTGTAATGTGCACTCATTAATTTATTAGGGGCCCCACAATTCTCTACTGCTTTGCTGTTGAAGCAGCAGTGCAACTTTTGTGCACAGACCCTGAGCAGCCACAGTTTATTACAAATTTATTCTTCTATTTATTCTTTCTCGTCTCCTATAATTCGACTTACTACAAATGAAAACAGTACACGCTAATTCAATTTTTGATTTCCAACATGCCAAAGAAGAAAATCTCTCTCTCTCTCTCTCTCTCTCTCACTCTCTATATATACATACATATGTATATCCACCCCACCCGCACACTACATATATATATATATATATATATATATACATATAGTGATGTGAACAAATCAATATAAATAAAGAAATAATTGACCTTGTACCCTTGCCTCCTTGAGGATTATGAAGCCAAATGTGTATTATCTTGGTGAGTGGAAGAACTAATCTTTGATGGGAAGAAAACAACACACACACGTGTATTTGACAGAGATTACAAACCTGCCTTCAATAATGCAGTTGTCAAGGTGGTGATTGGACTGTGAAAGGGCCTGCACACCAACTCTATTTTTTCTCCCTCCTTCGATGAAAGAAAAACAAAAATAAACAAAAACAAAAATAAATAACAAAAGAATCATATTTTAATAATCAAACAAAGGAAACAGTGCATGTGAGTGAGAAAAACAAAAAAACAAAAACAAAAACAAATTGGATGGCTATTGATGTCTTGTTCACTTGATGTTGGTTTTTAGTTTCTACACCAAATATTTTTTTTAAGAAAGTGGAGGATTTGTTTTGTTTCTTTCTAGGATTAGTTTTGAGATCATGTTGTGTTGACCTTGTTTAATTAAATGTCTTTTGGACTAGAAGGAAGGAAGAATTGATTTTAAAAGAAAGGAGGGGGGGGTGTTTGTGTGATGGTTTATTGCCCTCTAATTGTTTAAGGTGGCATTTATGGTTTGTTTGGACACTAAACCCACTTTCTGTTTCTTCTCTTCTTCCAATTTCCAAATTAACCAAACCACCACACAATAATTTCAATATAAATACTATGCTAAATTAAAAACCTAAGAATGAACATCTTAAAATGGAATCTACAACAAACATTCAAAACTGATCAAAACAACTATGACACAACATGCTGCCATTGAAAGTCGTAAAGCAGAACCCACTGATCTTTTAGGACAACCTCAATTTGCTACTTTTAAAAAAATTAAATTAAATGTGTGTATTTAAAATTTAAAATTTGTATTTGTACCCTATTCAACAAGTCCCCCCCCCCGCTCCCCCCCCTAAAAAAACTTAAAACTCAAGTTTGGCAAACCTAGTCTACACCATCTTTTATGCCACGTATCATGCCGTGACAAAAACACCAAGCACTCACACACACTGATAACTTCTTAAATAAAACCATGTGATGTGTGTGTACTCCTGTGTTTTATTTGTTAATGAAAAAGTAGAACTTACAGGTGAGCTTCAGATTGTCAGAACAGGTGTTGCTTCGCAGAAGAATGAATCTGAGCTGGATAATTTTGATCCCCTGGGTCTATACAGAGTTTCAAGTATTTGTTTTTCTAAAAAACAGTTTTAGTATTAAAGTATGTGGTGTGTGGAAACTTGCCATTAGGGTTCAGGCCAGGTCTATAGACAGACAGCTGTGCTTTGAGGCAAGTAACTTAAAGGTAGGAGTGTGGCGGAGATATTATTTGACATTGTTGCTATGACCCACAAATGAAGTCGAGGCCAGAGTCAAGGCCCTTTTGTGCACAATGTTGTCCATAAACCGATGTCCATTCTCCTCACCTTTTTCTTATTTTCCATTTCCCCGCCACCCCCCATTGATTCAATTGTGCATGTTGATTGCAAGTGGAATGTGCTTCTGAATGTTGACTTCAATATAAGAGTATTGATTCTGACTCTGTAAATACAAATATACCTTTAATATCCAAACATGAGCTGCATTCTAGTCTCCAAGTTATTCTCTAATAGATCTTAATTTTATGAGGATGTTTTTATTAGGAAAATATTGAAATTGATATTGGAAAATAAGTTATATACATTCTTTATTTCAAACTTATACTTGTATTCGCACACACACACACACACACACACATATATATATATATATATATATATAAATTTCTGATTATATTTTTCTGAAAAAGAAGTTGGAACAGTACAAAATAGAGACAAGCCCACCAAAGGAGTGTATTAGATGTATTGAAAATTAATTTATAATATAAATTTTTTATTTTGTAAAACAAAAACATTTTGCAGGGTGAGTCCAATGATTATAAGGTTGAATGGTTTATTTCAAAATATTGGTTTTAAAAAAGTACAAAATATTTTAAAACAAAACTATATGATTTTACAAACAACTAGTGTTCCTTGGAGCTTATTAAACTTTCAAAAATAGAGAGGAAGGACACTGTCAATCTTTTGTGACTTTAATTTGCTTATTGTAGGTATAGTTACACAGCCAATGACATTTTGCAACAATATCTAACATTAGAAAGACTAAAATAAATCCCAAAAGTTTTGTTAAATCTGAGATTTTTTTTTGCAATTTCGCTAAAAAGATATGATAATTTGATTTTGATGATAATTTTTTCTTCAAATCATAGTTGGTATAAAGCTGAATAATCATGAAAGTTCAAATTTCCTTGATTAAAACCATACTTTTATATCACCATTTGAAAAATATTACATCATATTCTTCTGGAGTGGTTGTTTTATGCTTTCTTAAAACTTTATCAAAGTTCCAAGGTCATGTAGGTTTCACATATTTTTTAGATAAGTGGCACTAACAAAATTGACAAGTTTGAAACTATTGCACTGTATGTATAGCTATTTGAAGCATCTCATAACAAAAGATATTTGCTTGGGAGCATGGGTATCATAAAATATACTTCTTAACTCAAGATTGCATACAATAAAGATATTTACAAAAATGGGATGATATAAGTGTTTATTCTTGGAATAGCACATGTATGTGTATTTTGGACTCATTAAATGAATAAATAAACAAAGAAAAATTTGAAGGGGAGATTGCCATTTTGCCAAAGTTACTAAGTTTTGTTGCTCTAATTGCAATGCTTAAAAATAAATAAATACCAATATTTGAATAAACCGAGAAAGGAAAAATGGAAGGATGTATAATGAATAATTTCTCTCAATTTATAAATAAAAGGCAATATTGGATGACTATATTGTGTTGAGGCACAAATTTTGAAAAAAACACAAGAAAATAACATATTGTTGCAGATTGTATTCTAAACAATCATCTCCCATTTACAACATCCATGCTTGTGAGTACATACCCACTCTTCTTATTGTACAACATCTTGTGTACCACTTGCACACTTAATTT